AACTACTGTGACGCCACGTTTCTAGAACTATCCTGTACCTGGGCGAATGCTCTAGTATTTACTAGATATAGGGTCGTCTGGTATATAAAAGAGGGTGACAACGTGACGAAAGAATGTAATGTGTGTGTAGACAGTGAGTAATTGAACTGCAGTCAGAAGTATTATTGACGTTCGTTGATATAGCGTTTTAGCACGATTGTTGAAAATAAGTGTATCGTAAAGTTATATTCGGAAAGAATAAACCAGTTTTATTAAGTATGGACTTGTGTCGCTAAAGTTTCGTCGGAACGAAGTTACGGAAAATTAATTAACAAACGGAGACGTAACAGAATTATGAGCTATTTGTAAGAGAATGTGACAGGTGGGCATGGTAAATGGGTCTGCTTTCTAGTTTGTCTTCATAAACAAAGAAGCGTGAAGGCTATAAAAAATCATACTTTGCCTTAGCAATATCTGTATTATAATGAGTAACTTGCATTAAACCCTTTATTTCAGAGAGAGTTGGTAAATTAATTGGAGAATGGGCAAAACCTAGAGAACAAGTGTCATGATTCTCATACCAGGAGAAATAGAGGATTTATTTAAACACTTCTACATCAAATTATGAAATTATAACTTAATTAATAAATCAAATTTTAAAATAAATTATAATGCTAAGTTTATTCATATACATTGATAATAATGAAGTTTAATTAAGTTTTGAATGTAACTCTAAAAGGTTGTGACATGCACACTTTAACCTACCTGTAGTGAGAGGGCTAAAGCATGTTGATATTGTATATTTTCTCTTCTCCTTCATTACAGTATTGTTTTATTTTCTATTTCTTCAGGCCCCTCTGTCCTTGAAATGTTTAACTCTCTTTTAAATCATCTTCGGAACTCTATTGATGTTCATAGCTTGACTAATACAGACCAGGAGGACGAAAAGCTATTCCAAGAATCAGTCATCAACACATTAGGTATTTATTGTAGTTGTAACCAACAAAAATTTGTTCTGGTCTAAGTAGTTTTGCATTAGTTGTAATTCAGAGTAGTTAATGGATGAACCAGAAGATTGATTACTTTTCTGGATATATTTGGAAGTAAGTATTGTTTGTATACCTTTCTGTAGAGAATAATTTGCCAAAAATACTTTGACAAATCGTGATTAAGAAAAAGTTTTATACCATGCTTAGTTTATTATTTGTAATTTCATATTGGTTATACTCATAAACCAAACAGTTAAAGTATATGTTTAATAAATATTAAACAAGAAAACAAACAAACCTACTTTGATTTTAAAAGAAACCATGTAAGCTAGCTTTCTGTTAGTAGATAGAGAAGTGGATGCTAGTTTTGAATACTGTAAAAGCTACTGTTAGTTCTTCTTTACTCCATGTTTTATTTCATAGTATACCTTTGTTTTTCAGGTGAGTTTGCTAACAATTTACCCAACTACCAAAAGATTGAGATCATGATGTTCATAATGGGAAAGATCCCGCAATCGGGAGAAGATTCTCGGAAGACAGATGTTCTGTTACAGCATATTTTATTGAAAAGTTTGTTAGAGGTAAAAATATAAAAAAAAATTCATTTTATGGATACAAGTACAGTGATAATTCAAATATTTAAAGTATAATTTTAAAAATTTACATTTTGCACAAAATAGCATAATTTTGTATCATTGGGTTTACAATTATGCTTTAGATATTGATAAATTAAGCTATTTCACGTACAACTAAAATTAAGCCTTGATACAATACTACAAATTGAAACTAGCTTACAGTTTGAAGAGGAAAGGGTAAAAGTTAAAATCGACTTCAATCTGACAATTAGAAAACTCCTCAATACTTGTGTTGCAAATGATCCTCTACTACACTCCGAATACTTAGAATTATAAAATTCATGAGGAATTTAGTTACAGTACTTTGAGCTATAAAGGTTGTATTACTTTTTTTTATATAATACTGAATGTAGTTGAATATAGTTTTGTTATATCCTAAAATGTGCTATTCAAGTAAAACGCTGCATTTTTCTTGCACAATATTTTAAAGATATCCTTGTGATTATTGCAACACAGTTTTTTACTTTAAATAAAAATATTATTAGACATTGAAAAAACTTTTACTTCACTATCTCAGTGTTTTGAAAGAAAACACAAATAAGACGTATAATTTGTCAACTAACGTGTGTAATTGCTCTTCAGGTTGGTACTAAATATCGAACCATACAGCTGGCCCAAGCTTTTCCATCTCCATTTCTCCAACCATTGCTAGATATGTCACTAGCATCTGACCCAGCTGTTCGATTGGTTGTTCAGCAGATTCTTCACACATTATTAGATCGCCATGGAAACATTCCAAAGCTTCAAAAACCAAAGTTAGTTCAGCTTATCAAATACTATAGTGCTATTAAAACAAATCTATAAAATTTAGCTTTGTATCAGTTTAACATGTTTTTATGCATTTACAAATATTTACTATCTTTTATTTAATTTTCTACAGTATTGATGGTCCACTGCCTCCAATGACTGTAGACAAATGTTCACGTCAGGATGTAATGTTCATGAAGAAAAATGGCCCTGAGATCATGGTGCACATTTATGAAAATATTAAGCTGTGCAACAACACAAAAGAAAATTTTGAAGCTCTTTACACAACTCTTGGTTTACTCTGTATTGAATTAGGTAGTGACTCGGATGCTCTTGGTGAGCTACTGAGGTTAATATTTGCAATTCAGGCAAGTTTCCCATATTCATTGCTACAATGTTTTTAATGTTTCAACTTTGTAGTATACTCTTCTTATGGAACTTTGTTAAATTGTTTTTAGTCTAATGGAAATTGCAGTTCTGTATACAACCATGAGGTGAGGTTGTGAAGTAAATCCAAGTATTTGTTAATGTTGAAATCCAGCTTGTAAAGCATCATACAGGTAACAAAATGCATGATGTCATATCTTCTTCATCTTTTTTCTAATCCATACATGTATTAATATGAATATTATCCAACATTTCATAATTTATGCACCTGGTAACTTAAGAAGATTTCCAAACTTTCTACAGTTAAATAAAGTATTTTTGTAAAGAAAATAAACAATCAAAAGCTTTTAATGTAAGAATTGGTTTTCTTATAAAGTTTTGACTAGATTGATAAGCTACCTCCCTATCACGTTTTTGTAAGATGTGCAAGAAATATGGGAAGTACAAAGGACTGATCTATATAAATACAAGAATCTACTTAATCAGAGTGAGAAATTTTAACCCTCACTTTAAATTGTTTAATTGTATTTGGTGTTTCATCATGGACATCAATACTGCAAAATGAAAAAATCTGTTAAATCTTAGGTTACATTGACTTGTTAAGAATTAATTTTGTAATAAATCCAAAATTGGAAAGTTTGTTCAGTTAGAATAGTTATTGTTATTTAGTATTTTATTCTTAATATATTTGTATGTCATATCATGTATGATTGTAAAATTGCAAACAGCAGTGATCTTTGAATTTTGAGACAGCTTTTGCAATTATAAAATAAGTGTATCATATCTATGCACATAACTTTATATCAGTGTAACTCTGGTGATAATTTCTACAAATTAGGTCATGATAAACTGTTCCTCCGAAATAATCAGTAAAATGTTTCTTCAAATATCTGCATTATAAGTTTTCAGACTTTTGAAGTTGAAAATACACTTACTTGTATGAATTTACTGCTTAAATACATTTCTTTGAATTTTTTTTCACCTAATAAAGGACTTGCCCAATATTACGGGAATTATGATATCATCACAACGAGCATCAATTCATGCACTAGTTGCAGCATTCTTATATCTAACTGGTCATTTGACAGCTATTCCTTCTTTCTGTAGTCATATTGAACAGGTGGGTTTCAATTTACTCTGTATTGCCTTTTTTTTTACATTTTCACTAACCAAAAGAACTACATACTGAATGAAAAATATCGTGTGTTTATGTGCAGAAACCTTTAAAAACAAATACTATTATTCACTCTAATAAATGGAAAATCTATGGCTGGCTCAACTTTTAATGTGCAATACTTTTTATTTTAATGATTATTTTCACAATTTTGAATGTCGTGGGTGAAATGTTAGTTTATTTTGTTTTAACAGAAACATTCAAATATAATTTTTTTCTGCAGGTTATCAAGAATCGACGTGAAAAGGCTCAACAACTTCTTCCTAGAGAAGATGAACCAGCTGTCAGTTCTCCATTTGAAATCTCCGATGACTTTTTATTTGATAAGAATGTTGTTTCTGAAGCTTTACGAAGTAGTGGCCATGACACTTCCCGTCTTCTGACTCCATTCATGCCTCGTAGTCTTGGTAATATCCCTTTTTATTTCAACATGGGGATTGTCTGTGTCCTGCTTTCCTCATCCTTTTAACTTACTTTAGGATATTTGTGATTAACCTTCATTTAACTTTTTGATATGTTTTATTGTTAAGTGTTTAGAAAACTCATCCATTCACTAAATTACCTTTAACTTTATTGATACATATTTCAAACTGACTTCATTTGTTTACTACAAAAACCATTACAAGTTTAATTTTAAAGCAAATTGCAAGGAAATATTTTTATTTTGTTTACTTGTTTTGTTTTTATATTAGGTTGATAACACTATTAAATCATATTAATTTATATGTTTAGTGTGAAAAATTCAGATGGGAAAATAATATAAAAGGGCAAAAAATGTGTTATTTTTGTTGTATTTTACATAATAAGTTCAGACAATTAAATGTTTCATCATTTTGCTATTTAAGGGTAAAACTCACTAAAAACTATACTTATAATTAAGATTATACTAAGTGAGTATGGTATGTTTGGAAAAGAAAAATATTCACCTTGATTTTTGTTTTAATAGGTTTAAATGTTTGTTCTATATAGCTGAAGTCAATGTTAGTAGAAGTATCAGTGACTTGAACTCCGTCAGTGTTGAGGTTGATAGTATTGCTTCGTCTCCTGGACTTTTTCGGGTGAGTTGGAAATTGAATTGGTAACATCCAAGTTTTCTATATCATGCTTAATATAACTTTGAAATTAATATACTGAGTTTCTATAAGTTTTTGTGACTTTGACATAACATATAGCTTAAGATAGACACAGAAGGTGAATTTGCTTGAAAACTTTGAGGCTAGTGATTGGTGTAAGCAAGCTGGTCCAAGTTGATGCCCAAACACAAAGAAATGCTTTAAAGTAATACAATTGAGTATATAGGGTGCTACAATTGATCACAGGATACTATTATTAGCTTTTGAAAATGGCTGCTTAAAGCACAGTGTGTACACGATGATTTTTGAAACTTTATACACTAATTAGCCTCACTGCTGGCTTGGTTACACCAAATTTGTTTTTAAGATAAAAATGTCACTCTGAAACATCATGCCAACATAGTGAAAGAGATATATTCAATTAAGATAAATATTAATTCCATCTAACAGTTAATAGAATTATTTTCAAAAAATAATTTCATTCATATTTTAGGCATCAAAAATATTGTAAGGTTGAATTTTCAATAGACTGTGTTGCCCCACTCAAGAAACAAAGCAGGAGTAGTCCATTGCAGATTTCAGCCTTATCTTCGGATATCTTGGTGAAATGTTAAGATGCAGAAATATCCAGGTGGGAATGCTTAACTGTGAAAGATGTATTTGACTTCAAGAGAAAATGCTTTCTTAGAATTATGCTTTAACTTAGAAACTATACTTATCATTGCATACAAATATGATCAGAGGCCTTTTGGTTAGGGCCCTCAATTCACAATATGGAGGTCACGTAATTGAACCCGGTCACTGAACATTCTTTCCTTTTCAGCTATGGGGACATTACGATGTGATGGTCAGTACCACTATTCATTGGTAAAGAGTAGCTCAAGAGTTGGCAGAGGGTGGTGCTGAGTAGCTGCTTTCCCTCAAGTCACTTCAAAATCAAAGACAGTTGGCAAAGATAACCTTTGACTAGCTTTACGGGA